TGATTATTTGAAAGAGTCTTTCGATGAAACCGCCGAGAGAAAGTCACTGTATAATCAATGAGCCTTCCTTTTGAGTATAGCTTTAGCCACAAGACGTGCCTTATACCTCCTCCACATATTACCATTGCATCCCGCTTGTTTAAAAAATCCATTTACAACCAATTGGTTTGCACCTTCTGAATGGACAAGTGTCCAAACTTATTGTTTGCCATAGACAATTACATTCATTATGGCATCAGATCCATGTTGAGAGTCTAGAGAAACTTTTATGGCCTGAGAGAAGTTATGTGGTCATCTTCTAACATTCCACTTACTTTCCTCATGTTCTTGGAAATACAATATAATCATCCGGAAAGCATTTCATCCTCTCTCTCGTGGATCTCCTTAATGCACTGGTTCTTGAGTTGGGAGTTGTTCTTCTGGAACAGCGGATGTTGTTCAACATTATCATCTTGCAGGTTCCGATTAGCTCGTTGAGCAACAACAGGTAGAGAACCTGAACAATTTTGTCACAAAGTAACTGTATGGATTGGTATCTGAAGCCAAATCCTCCTCAAACTAATTCGTCTAACCTTATTTCTCCCCCAAACTCAACGATCCTCAAAGAATGTTGCTGTTCCCGTCTCAAAAATATTCCTATATAGTGGGATCATAAACTTAAAGCCTAACGGTTCAGAGTATCCAATAAAGTAGCTGCTAAACTGTGTTTGGAGTCAATTCTTTTCATTCGGGCTATAAGGCCTTGCCTCAGCTGGACATCCCACATATGTAAAGTGCTTAAACTGGGCTTGTCGACCAGTTCCAAGAGCTCATAAGGGTTTTAGCAACTGCGCTTACTTGGTACTCTATTCAATGTAAGCTGCTGTCTTAAGCTGCTTCTCCCAGAGAGACTACTGGTAAAGAAGAATGAGCAATCATACTTCTTAACATATCCTTAAAGAGTCCGTTCGTCTTTCAGCTACACCATTCCATGCTCGGTGAGCCCGCATAGGTGTACTGTGGGACGATACAGCATTCCATCTAGTATCTAGCAAATGGTCCTGCAGTATGTTAGACCTGAACATCATATTACCGTAGTACTCACACAGATCAGATCTGCGGTTTAATTTCTTCTGTGGATTGATTCCTCAACTTCAGCTTATGAGCTTTGACGATGTCCAGAGACTCAGATTTTCATGAATAAGATATCATGCTGCCTAACGTAGTAATCGTTATGAATAATATAAAAATATATGTTGCACTCGATTCCAGGATTCCGTAGGGACAGTGCCACAAATTCCGGATGTATCAATTCTAAGACAATCGAAGATTTGTTGGCACCTATCTCTTCACTTTAGTCTGTTTTTCCTTGATACTTCAAACACATACGTTGAAAGTCAAAAAATCAAGAGAATCCAAAATGCCATCAGACACAAGACGCTCAACTCTACCTTTAAGATATGACCTAAGCGCTTATGCCATAATGTCGCCGAATTTTCCTTATTTAATTTACGCTTAGTACCATGTGATTCCACATGCAAGGATTCATTGTAAGAAGCAATTGTATCAAGCAAATATAGGTTGTCATAAATACTCAAGTAACCGGTTCCCACAACATTTGAATTAAAAGATAAACTGAATTGACTGTTTCCAAATGAACAAGAATAACCTGATTTTGTCCAATACAGAAACAGAAACCAAATTCCGTCTAAAAGACGTACTCAAAAGTATCTTTTAAATCAAATAATAACCAGTTCCTAACAACAACCTAAAGTGCCCAATTGCTTCCACATCTACCGATTGTCCGTCTCCCACAAAGATGTGTCTTTCAAATCACTTGCTTTCGGTAGCTCATGCAACCCTGCATAGAAACACTTATGTGAGTAGTAGCACCAGAGTCTAACCACCAAGTGTTCTAGGTACTGAAGCTAAATTAACCTCAGAACAGACCAAAGCAAGGAACGTACCCTTATTATCACGCCATGCGTGATATTTTGTACAGTCCTTCTTTACATGTCCAGGCTTCTTACAGAAGAAACAACCCTGATTATCCTTATGTTGTTTCTTCTCAACTGGACCCTTAGCAGCTTCCTATTATTCTTCCTTTTCCTTGCCCTTATCCTTAGAGGCATAGGCAAATGAGCACTTTCTGTCTTATCTTGCTTCAACCTGTCTTCTTTACACAGAGATGAAATGAGTCATTTAGAGTCCATTTCTCCTTTTGACAGTTATAACTGAGCTTAAATTGGTTAAACTGTGCAGGAAGAGACAACAAAACCAGATGTACTAATAACTCGTCACAAAGGTCGAGTTTAAGTGCCTTAAGCTTGAAGCAATATGAGACATTTCCATAATGTACTCCCTGATATTTCCTTTGCCCTTATACTTCATTGAAATCAAGCGAGCTAAAAGCGTGCTTGTTTCTACCTTATCGTTTTTTCGCAAACGCTTCTCAATTTCGGCAAGGAAATCTTTAGCCTTAATAATCCTTCGGATTCTATGCCCTGAAGGCTTCGCGAACGCCCGCTTAATGATCATAAGACTCATGCGATTTGAACGCTCCACTTCTCATGCTCTTCTTTGCATCAGGAGTGCTATCCGCCATTGAGAGGTTGGGGTTGTTCAGTTCTTAAGCATAGTCAAGATCCATGCGCAGAGAAACAATTAATATGTTCTCTTTCCAAACTTGAAGTTTGTCCGATTTAGCATGGAATTGAGTTGATGTTAGCAGAAATTGTTGCAGCAGATGCATTAGCTGAATATAAAAAAAGATGCTCATCAATATCAAATCAATAAAATTCAAATAATGACAATCCCCATCCAAGATACCGGCACAAAATTATATATCAAGTCTTTGGACAGTATATTAACTTGTAAGTGATACCTTGTTTGCAATGATCAAACATTGACAATAACTCATGTCAAATAATGAAACTATCTTTGGATCGATTCATTATTCACATGTAAACCTTATAATTGTCACACGCTTATCATGCGCAGAGTGTATACAGTCTAAATAAATATTAACCTTCCTTTGGGCCGATTAAATATTTACACGAAAGCATACACACAAAACATCTCACATTCCTCATGAACAATCTACACAAGAGAGGTACTTTGGCAACTTCTTGTTTCAATTAATCAATTGGAGTGAGAGACAACCTTAATACCTTAGTGTCATAATATTTGAATTCAATAATTGATTAAAAACCGAATTAGATTTAAATTAAAAAATTTAAATCAACTGAATTTCCAAAAACTTAATTGGGGTATCACAGCTTAACTAGCCATAACTTAATTGAATAAATTAAGTATACCAAAGTGGACCCATGAAAAGCCGAGGCTTAACATAATGAACACGAAGTTCCCTTAATTCGACGAGAGGTTCGACTGTATTGAGTCAGGCTCACTTAAGCACGAACGCGAGGTTCGTCTAAAATGAACGAACGCGAGGTTCGTTTGATAAAAGAACGCGAGGTTCAACTTGGAACGAACGCGAGGTTCGTTAAAAATGAACGCGAGGTTCAACTGAAGTACGAACGCGAGGTTCGTCTGAAGCTACGAACGCGAGGTTCGTCTGAGTATCGAACGCCGAGGCTCGACTGAAGCACGAACGCGAGGTTCGTCTGAAGTACGAACGCGAGGCTCGACTGAAGTACGAACGCGAGGTTCGTCTGAAGTACGAACGCGAGGTTCGTCTGAAGTACGAAACGCCGAGGTTCGTCTGAAGAACGAACGGAGAGGTTCGTTAAAAATTGAGCTTGACGCTCACCTGAGTTGAACGCGAGGTTCACCTTGGGAACGAACGCGAGATTCGTTGAAATTGAGCTTGACGCTCACCGAGTTGACGCGAGGTTCACCTTAGTAGAACGAACGCGAGGTTCGTAAATTGAGCTTGACGCTCACCTGAGTTGAACACGAGGTTCACCTTAGAACGAACGCGAGGTTCGTTGAGCGCGAAAGCTCGTTAAAATTGAACGAACGCGAGGTTCGTTTGAGTAACCACCTCCTTAATTTTCGCCATGAACCCTTAGGGTTTCAAACTGAAACCGCCGTCGACAAACCCAAAAACTTTGATTTTTATTTTCAAAACAGATCAAACAGAATTGGCAAAAAAGTGTAAGAAAAATCCAAAAAATTCCCAAAAGTTACTGTTCACCGGCGATTTTTCAGTTACTGTTCACCCGAAAAAAATACTGTACTGTTCATCCGAAAAAATTTTCCATTACTGTTCACCGAATATTACTGTTCATCCGAGAACATTACTGTTCATCCGAACCCAAAAATTGAATCTTTAACCAGAGATTTAAGATCAAAAACCCAATAAAACTTAAATCCCTAAGAATTAATCAAGGTGGCTCTGATACCACTTGATAGATCTACATCATAAAACTTGAGATCTAAAACCATATAGCCATGATTAATTCAAAGAGATTAACAAAATCAAAAGAGAGCGGAAGCTTATACCTGAATCCATAGATTGATCTTGATTTTGGGTTTTGGATCTTCTAACCTTAGGGTTTTCTCTTTTAGCCGAATTTCTCTATCTAGATGGGGGTGTAGAGAATTAGAGAATGTAACCCTAGGTTAGGGACCATAACCCCTTATTTATAGATGTTGTACTTTTGTAATTTAGCCCCTCAATAAATTACAATTACAACCTGGTATCTGCACATATAACCCCATGACTTATTTAAATACCAAATTAACCCAACTTAATTGATCACTTTAATGGGTTATCCTGAAAGATAGCAATACACATTGATTAATCATATGTGCCCACAAATAGATTTATTAGATTAAATCCAACGAGGACTAATAAGGAGTGTGTGCGTGTATAATTAAGTAAGGCGTTGACATCTCAAGCTAGCTAGCTAGCCGGAATTACGTCTGTAATTAAATAAATAGAATATGCTCCCCACTTACATATTAGAGGCGACGACTTAATTAGCTCTGTCTACCTACAACATGTGCTAGTGCTAATGCGTGTGTGTATCTATCTATACATGTATATATATAGCTCCTCACTGCCATTTGCATTTGGCACTCGCATTGGCATTCACAAGTTGACCGCCACAAATCTATGTTATCCGTAAATCTCTACTATTTCGTAAGTGGTCTAAGCTAGTCGCCGGCTCGGGTACGTAATAACGAAACTGATCATTCACCACCAATTCATGCGTCGACGTCGCATATTTCTGCAGCGTGTTTACTAATACTTGATTGGTTTTTGATGGATATGAGTGCAGTACTAGCTAGCTAGGCCGAGATCAGATCAAGGAGGGGAAAAGATCTTGGCTGGTAGCGATGGGGTCGATCTTCAACGAGACGGCTCATGCAGGGAATAATACCTCATCGACCTTCAACAACTGCAGCAGCACTAGCAGTACTAAGACATCGACGAAGGCAACGTCGAACGGGGCGTGGCAAGGTGACAATCCTCTCGACTACGCGCTGCCTCTCTTAATCCTTCAGATCTGCATCGTGGTGGTTCTCACCAGATCCCTCGCCTACCTCCTCAAGCCCCTTCGCCAGCCTCGCGTCATTGCTGAGATCATAGTAAGTATTAATTCCTCCACTGCATATGCCTTAGTTTTTCAAATCTTCCCTCTCAATGCATGCCTCTTGCCTGCTTTCTCTGACTTTTAAATCGTTAGCTTTCAATATTCACGTCTTGCCCATTAATTAACCCCTGTCCACACTTGAAACGCCAACGTTCTGGTTTAGGCGATTCTCCTCAATTTCCAACGTACGGCAATACTCTTCCAATTTCTTATAGTACGGACAGTTGCGTATCAATTGCTTTGGGCATCGTTCGCCTGCGTGTCACTCCGATATCTTAATTAGCACTTACTATATGCCAGCATATTGCATTTAATTAATTATTCTGACTCTTTTTATTTTTAACTCGAGATGGGTGGCAAATATAATCAACACCTAAACAAAATACGTACAACTGTGATTAACAGTATGCATGCGGTCGTCTCTTTACTGTTTTTGGATAGTAAATGAAAACCAAATACTTCAATATTTACACGCATCACAGCTTGTCTAACTAAGAACTTATATGATCAGTTACACACGGTACTCTTAAAAGATTGTAGAAAGTATCAAAAAATTATTTCGTTGAGCTACATGTATTTAGAAATTTGCGACAATTGCTAAATAAAAAAAGGGGAGATAAGATTGATATTTCATTGAGAAGAAAAAGATGAATCCATTTATTAATTCTTTTCAACTCCGTGATCGATTTAGTTAGTTGGGTAGAATATTACGACTCATTGTATGGTAATAAATTGTGCAGGGAGGGATTTTGCTAGGACCATCTGCACTGGGGCGCAGCAAGAAGTTCCTTGACACAGTTTTCCCTACGAGCAGTCTCACTGTGCTCGACACCATAGCCAATATTGGCCTTCTCTTCTTCCTTTTCCTCGTCGGCCTCGAGCTTGACCTCCGTGCTATTCGCCGCACTGGCAAGCGTGCTCTCGCCATTGCACTCGCAGGCATCTCCGTCCCCTTCGTTCTCGGAATCGGCACCTCTGTCGTCCTCCGCTCCACCGTCAACAAAGGCGTCCGTCAGGGTCCCTTCTTGGTCTTCATGGGGGTCGCCCTCTCCATCACTGCCTTCCCAGTTCCGTGGCTACGTATCATTAGCCGAGCTCAAGTCCTCCCACCACCGACCTTGGCCGCATCGCTATGTCTGCTGCTGCCGTCAATGATGTGGCTGCTTGGATATTTCTCGCCCTCGCCGTCGCCCTCTCAGCGAAGCGGCTCGCTCTTAGTCTCCCTATGGGTGCTCCTCACCGGGGCTGCATTCGTGGCCGGTGTGGCCATCTTCCTGCGTCCAATCCTGGCTATGCGATTGGCACGTCGATCTCCAGAGGGAGAGCACGTCAAAGAGGTCTATATTTGCGCCACTCTGACGACCGTGCTCGCAGCAGGATTCATTACCGACACAATAGGCATCCACGCGTTGTTCGGAGCGTTCGTGGTCGGAATTGTTGTGCCCAAAGATGGTCCGTTTGCAGGGGTACTGATCGAGAAGGTGGAGGACTTAATAGCTGGTCTTTTGTTGCCTCTCTACTTTGTGTCAAGTGGGCTCAAGACCAATGTGGCCACCATCAGTGGTGCTAAATCCTGGGGGCTGCTTGTTCTCGTAATTGCTAATGCTTGCCTAGGCAAGATTGCTGGAACTGTGATCGTGGCGCTTATGGTGAAGGTACCAATGAGAGAGTCCCTCGCTCTTGGATTCCTAATGAACACCAAAGGTCTGGTTGAGCTCATCGTCCTCAACATTGGGAAGGACCGCAAGGTTTGTTGCCAATTCATCTACCCCAAGCAAAAAATTCTTCGTATTTTTTACTCACCAGATTTTAGCTGAACATCCAAGTCAAAAAGACGGTTAATTTAGGGATCTAGATATATCTACGCCTAGGGATGTGACACCTGAGTTTGTGCTTGCAGGTGCTGAATGATGAGACTTTCGCCATTCTGGTGCTGATGGCTCTCGTCACAACCTTCATTACTACCCCAGCCGTGATGGGCATCTACAAGCCTGCACGACGGAGCGCATCTTACAAGCACCGCACCATTGAACGTTCTGACACCGAGAGCGAGCTTCGTATCCTTGCCTGCTTCCACAGCAACCGCAGCATCCCAACCCTTATTAATCTGGCCGAATCATCTCGTGGCACTCGGCGGCATGGCATCATTGTCTACGCCATGCACCTCATGGAGTTCTCTGAGCGTTCCTCTGCTGTCTCCATGGTCCTCAAGGCCCGCCGCAACGCAACGGCCTTCCCTTCTGGAACAAGAAGAGCCGCGACGGCGACCAGATGACGGTTGCCTTCCAAGCCTACCAGCAGCTCAGCAGTGTCTCTGTTCGCCCAGCCACTGCCATATCTGACCTTAACACCATTCACGAGGACATCTTAGCAAGCGCGCAGGAAAAGCGTGTGGCGCTCATCCTTGTTCCATTCCACAAGCTCCAACAGGTGGATGGAAGCCTCGAGTCCTTGGGAAGCACTTATCAACACGTCAACCAGCGGGTGCTCCGCCACGCTCCTTGCTCTGTTGCCATCCTTGTTGACCGAGGCTTTGGAGGCATTGCGCAGGCTGCTCCTGGTGACGTTAGCTACACAGTTATCGTCCTCTTTTTTGGAGGACCTGACGACAGGGAGGCCCTCGCCTACGGGCTTCGCATGGCAGAACACCCAGGAATTGCACTCACCGTCCTGCGCTTCCTCCCCGCTGTTGAAGGGAAAGGGAAATCCCCTGAATTTGAAGCCGGCAGTAGCAGCAGCGTAGTCCCGGACGAGAATGCCACAGATGAAGCTTCCATCTCCAAGTTGCAAGCTGCAAAGAAAGATTCTATAAAGTTTGAGGAAAAAGTATATGAAGGGAGGGCGCAGTTAGTTTCAACAATCAAGGGTGTGAGCAAATCATGCAATATCTTCCTCGTGGGTCGCAGGACTCCGATATTGCCATTAGTCGACAGGACTGACTGTGAGGAGCTAGGACCAGTGGGTAGCTACCTGGCCTCGTCTGAATTCTCAACAACAGCATCGGTGTTAGTGATACAGAGGTATGATCCGAAGGGAGACCCGTCCAAATTCGCAGAGGAGGTGTCAGAGATCCATGATGTGCCTGACACGCCTTTGTCGTCGATCGTACCAGAGTCAGATAAATCCATCCCTTGAAACAAACATTCATTTCTTGGAGAGTTGCTCTCAATAAGTTAAGCTCATGCCTTGTCTTCAGTGCTCACCTTGATTTGTTCCACAAGGGAGCCTAGCCTTTTATTTTTAATTTTTTTTTTCTTTCTCGTACGTGTTCATACATGTATGTATGCAGTGTATATATTTGCTTTCATTAACAAGGAGGGGCCGCCCGCAAAGGAGGTAAATATAGTAATAATGTAAGGTGATGATGATGACGACGAAGATGAAATTAATTGTCTTTTATGTTCGAGGCACCATATGCATGTAAACAAATAATGTTAAAGCTCGAAGACAATGCAAAAGAAGAGAAGAAGAAAACTTGGAATATTCTTAGTCTCGGGGTACCACCTTGATGTTGGACGGAATACTCATACTCCTGTTGTAATTCATCAATTGTTAATGATTTTTGTTTTTCTTTTTCTGTGAAAAAACCGAGCGGCAAAAAATTCGCATGTTTCAAACATAAGACATATAGATATAAACATACAAGAGAACCAATATGTGCGTAACTCTTCAAAACAACATAGTGAAGCCTAATCCTATAAGCTAAATCCCTCTAGAAAATGTAGAAACTCCTCTTTCTGTACACAAACATATTTTGATTCTTTAAGCTAAAACACGCTCAATGTTTTACCTAAAAGAATTATGGCATAAATATTTCCTAATCTTTTGATCATCCTACATGTAAATTAACAAACTGTTTTAACTCAAAAAAGAAATAAAAAAATAAAAAATAAAAAATAAAAAATAAAAAAATCAATAACCTTTATTATTTAGATTCAATTGTAAGATGCGTGATGATACCATTGTAGAATTAGGGACATGGCCACCAAGTTCAGAAAATATGAAGTAGGAAACAATTTGGGTGTTGTTCGGTCGACCGCAAGGCAAGTCCGGTCGACCGAAAACGTGCACGCTACATGCTTTTGTTTCAGGCACTTTGGCGGTCGACCGAGGTAAAATGCCGGTCGACCGACTTTGCTGTCCGGTCGACCGACGGGTAATTCCGGTCGACCGATACATGGTTTGATAACATGGTGAGTTTCTGTTGTTCTGGTCGGTCGACCGGAACCACATTTGCGGTCGACCGGATCGGGTTTTCGGGCCTGATTTGGGTTTCCTGATCTGTTTGGGATTGGTGTTTGGTATAAATACCAACACACGTTTTAGGGTTTATGGAGAGCAGTATTGGGGATATTTGGAGCACAGAAAAAAGCTTTTTCTGGAGCTATTGGTTAGAGTTTTGTTTGAGAGATTGAGAGCTTTGTGTGAGAGATTGAGAGCTTTGTGTGAGAGATTAGTTTGTGGATTTGTAATCTCTATTTGTACTCTCCTTTTCTATTAGTAAAAACTCATCCCCTTCTTGCCCCGTGGACGTAGGCAACTTGCCGAATCACGTAAAATTCGTTTGTTTGTGTTTGTGCCGTTATTTTGGATTGTTTTGCTTTCTCTCTCGACATTGGTATTTATTCTCGGCATCCCATCGGTTTGGCCGCCACGCACAATAAGTGGTATCAGAGACTAGGTTACACTTGGGCTAGATGGAGGAGTAGATCACTTTGGAAGCTCATTTAGGGCTTTAGTTGGTGATAAATATGAGATTTTTACTATTGTGGATCTCGTTTTCATCTTGTAGGGTTGAGATCTTTTGAAGGCATCTCTTTCGTATAGTGAGGTCATCGCTGCACTTGTGAATTATCAGCTTCGGAAGAAGGATAAGGAGACTTCGATTGATACAGTAGCGGGGGCATTGGTGGCAAGAGGGAAGAGAAGCTAATGAAGCAATAAACTATTATAAGCATGACATTTTATTATCATAAGACATAGGTTCAGCAATTCTGTAATGTGGCCTAGGAATTCGAGAGGCAAATACAAACCCCAGTAGATACATGTTTAGAAAGACTCACAATTGTTTGAAGATAGGTAAGTCCACATGACTCAACTCAAGGCATAGAAAACGGCCTCCTCATCAAAGTACCCTGCAAATTGTAAAAGCATATAAAATAAAATAAAGCACATTTAAGTACGAGAAATAGAACATTTTTCTTAAAGTAGGAGACTGCTTGTTCTGATAATCAACTCCTTCAATTAGAAAATCATTTTTACACAAATCAAATAGTGTTGAGGAACATTTTCTTCCCCTTTGTAAATTGCAAAAAAAACCATTATTGAAACTTTAAGTATATCCCATCAGTACCCCATCACCACAATATGAGATGTTGCTCATGCAGTGTGACTAGCAACAATATGACTTGTGTTGTTTTGATAATATTTTCAAGTCATATGCCCCAACAAAAATATGACATCACAGCTTTAACATTACAAAGAAAGTTGGTATTTCTTGTGCACGTGCACAAATAAGCTGGCATCACTAAGCATACAATATAGAAGGTACCAAGGAAGTTCACCTGTGAGCTTTAGTGAGAGCTCTCTCTATGTGTGTCACATTTCTAATCCCGAATGCAATAGTATTGTTAGATAATATCATGAGCCACCAGCCACCCTATATGTGTATAACTGCCTCAGCCGCCTCCTAGCCGCCTCAGCCGCCTCCTAGAGTGTTCCTAGTGTGGGCTACTAATTGTGTATGTGGGCTACTGATTGTATATATATAACCTGTAAATCTGAACATCAAATATAGAGTTCTCTTCAATACCAACTTAACATGGTATCAGAGCTATAGATTTAATCCATTAGGTTTAATCCCTAAATCAATTCTAATCATACATCCTCAAATCAAATTTAGTCACAGAAACATTCCTAGCCAACGGTATTACCTACTTCCGTCGTCGCCGCCTGATCCACGGGACTAGACCTCGTTGACGGTGATGCTCCTCCCGTCGAGGTTCTAACCGTTCATCACCTCAATGGCGTCTTTCATCGCCTGATCGCTACCAAAGGTAACAATGATTTTGGAGTCGATGACCTCTCCGTAGGTGCTGAAGGCCTTCTCGAGGGAGTGGCTGTCAGTGGCCCACGTGAGGCCCCTGATGAAGCAGCGGAACTCAACATTAGTAGCGGCCATGTGATCTCTCTCACTCTTTCTCTCTCACAGAGACGGGTTCAGAGTCCCCCTCTTCTTTAGTTCTGTTCTAGGGTTTCATCTCTCTTTTATCTGAGGCCAATCTTCAGGCCCATCTTCTATCTAACAAAAAAAAAACTTCACAAAAAAAACTTCAGACTCATGGACAAGAAAGGACTCTACACCTTTCCACCCCTTGATGTGCAACTTACAAATATTAAAAATTACCCTGCATGGTTATCTTGACGGATCTCTTCATTGTCCCATCAAAAATTGTTATTGTGCCTTCGTTATTTACATCCTCTATATCAGAAATCACTTCTAGTGATTCCACTACTGATAATTCTCAGATCACTTATTCTCAGTGGATCCATACTGATCAATAGATCATGGCATATATTATGTGTTCTATAGCTATTCCTATTTGGCTCTCCCTTAGACGAGCATCTTCATCTCGTGAGCAGTGGCTAGCTCTCAGTTACATGTTTGTTCAGACTGGTGCTGCTCATGAGTATCAACTTCACCAAGCTCTTCAGGATGCACGTCAGGGTGATCGACCTATTCAATATTTCTAGTCCATATTATTAGGCTAGTAGGAGGAATTGCAGATGATGGAGGAACCTATTCCTGAGACGCTTCCAGAATTTGCCATAGTATTTCAAAAATAACATGATCGTTAACAGTTATATCATTTTTTCATGCGTCTTCGCTCTGAGTTCAAAAGCTTACATGGACACATTCTTTATTGCAGTCCTCTCCCCAGTCTCTGTGAAGCTATGGCTAAATTCATATCTGAAGAGACGCGTCTTCAGATGCTCTCCCCTCTAGTTATTGCATCTCTGCCATTACCCTCATCACATACTATTCTAGCTACTCCTCAGCAGTTCTCTTTCTATCGGGGTTCTTCTAACAGTACATCTGATTCCTCTCGGCAACTCTACTGTCGTTATTGTAAGAAGCCAAGTCATCTTATTGATAATGTCGTAAGAGACCACCTTGTCCGACACTCAAGAAGACTCGACCTCTATTTGCTGCTTCGGCTGATGTTAGCCATGCTCCTCAAGAGTCGCAAACTTCTACCCTCTCTTCTGAGTAGCTGTCAGAGATTACTACATTAATAGCTAAGAATCTTGGGCTTAGTGATGCTGCCTCCAGCTCAGATTTTACTACATTGTCTGCTCAATCTGGTACTTCTACTCCTTGGATATTTGACTCGGGTGCATCTCATCATATGACCTTTGATAACTATGTTCTTACAAATTATTCATCTGCTCCGTCTTCATTATGCATTTATACTGCTAATGACACTCCCCTTGTAGTCTCTCAGTTAGGTGATGTTACTCCAAGTTCTGATAGTTCTAATCGTATAACATTATAATCTGTTCTTTATATTCCCAAATTATCTATGTAACTTTTATCCATTGGGAATATTGCACATTCTGGTTGCACTATCTTATTTAATGCTAAATCTTGTGTTGTCTAGGATCACGCTAGTCAGAAGATTGGGACAGATCATAGAGTTAATGGACTTTATTAGTTAGAGTCTCTATATCTTTCTATTCCATCCAACATTTGTCATGGGCTCTCTGTTTCTGATCTGTGGCACCGTCACTTGGATCATATCTCTGGTTCTCGTTTAAAACTTTTATCTGAATCAGGTGTATTAGGAAATTTAAAATTCTCTATTTTATCAAATTGCTCTGGATGTCGATTAGCTAAAAAAATTGCCCTACCATTTTCATCCAGTAATATAATAAAATTGCTTTAGCCCCATTTGATTTGATTCATTCTGATATCTGGGGACCTGCCGTATTACCATCATTGTCTGTTTATCGATATTATGTCAGTTTTATTGATGACTATTTTGCGGCACCTGGGCATATCTCATGAGTGCTCGTTCTGATATTTTAAATATTTATAAAGACTTTATAAATATGATTCACACCCAGTTTCATAAACGTATAAAGATATTTCGCTCTGATGGTACCTGTGAATATATCTCTTCGGCAATGCAATTTATTTTAAAATCACATGACACACTCTCTCAACAGTCTTGTCCACACACTCATGAACAAAATGGTGTTACTGAGAGAAAACATCGTCACATTCTCGACACCACTAGAGCTCTTCTGATATCAGCATCTGTACCTCAATATCTCTAGGCAGAAGCACTTCTGAGTTCTGACTGCTGTTTATCTTATCAATATTACTCCATCTTCTGTATTAGTTGACACCTCTCTATATTTTTAACTTTTCAAGTCTCAGTTTAGCTATTCTCTTCTTCGCACTTTTGGCTGTGTTTGTTTTGTCTTGCTTCCAACTCATGAACAAGATAAACTATCTCCACGCACTGCATGATGTATCTTTCTTAGCTATAACACCGTTCACAAGGGGTATCGTTGTTATGAACCTACTACTCGAAGGCTTCGTATTACCCGTCATGTGACCTTCTTTGAGAATATTTTCTATTATACTACTTCAGATTCATATCTCTCCTTTCTTTAACCCCCTTCATTACCTTCAACTACTATACCTGTATCAGTGACACCTGTACCTTCGTCTACTCAATCGATTCCCTCCTTCACTCCAATGGCATTAAACGATAGTGCTCTTGTTTCATCCACACCTCCCGGACATTCGCCTACTACATCCCCTTTACTGCAAGATACTCCTACTGATGTCCCTTCTATATTTGTGTCAGCTTCTCCCGATGTGACACCTCTCCCTCGACGCAATCCTCCATGAGATCATCATCCCCCTGCTCGGTATGCTCAATGTGTCACTAGCACATATTCTCCTGAGTTTGTCTCTTTTCTTGCTGCTATTCACTCTATACATGAACTTAACTCATATTCTGAGACAATTAAGTATCCAGAATGGTAAGAAGCAATGATGGAAGAGTTGGAGACTTTTTATCGGACTAATACTTGGGATCTTGTTCCTCTGCCTTCCGGTGTTAAACCGGTAACCTGCAAATGGATTTATAAGGTCAAGACTCGATCTGACGGTTCTATTGAGCGGTATAAAGCTCGTCTTGTAGCTCGGGGATTCACAAGAGTATGGTAGTGATTATGAAGAGACTTTTGCTCCTGTTACAAAAATAACATCCATTCGCACTCTCAATGATGTTGCAGCTGCAAAACATTGGCCTTTGTATCAAATGAATGTTAAAAATGCTTTTCTTAATGGCGATCTGTCTGCAACAGTGTACATGCAGTTACCTCTTGGCTTTCCTGCTCCTCCAGGACATGCTTGTCGCCTTCGTCGTGCTATATATGGTCTCAAATAGGCTCCTCGGGCTTGGTTTGAGCGTTTTCGATAATCTCTTCTTTTTATTGGTTTTATTGAAAGCTTAGCTGATTACGCTTTATTTTATTGGTCCTTAGCCTCTGGTACAATCATTCTATTACTTTATGTTGATGACATGATAATCACGTCATTACTTCCTTAAAGCAACATCTTCAAAGACAATTTGAGATGAAAGATCTTAGATCCCTTCGTTACTTCTTGGATATTGAGGTTGCTTCTTCCTCTCGTGACTATCTTCTCTCTCAGCAGAAGTATATTGCAGATATTCTTGAGCGTGCTACTCTCAGTGATCCTTTCATTGCTACCACTTCTCTCTCCACACCGATGGAAATGAACTTGAAGCTTCAACATGATGATGGTGATCCCTTATCTCAACCTACTCGATATCGGGAACTTGTTGGAGTATTGGTTTATCTTTCAGCAACATGTCCAGATATCGCCTATGCAGTACACATCTTGAGCCAGTTTGTCAGTAGTCTAACTTCCATTCACTATGCAGCTCTCATTCGGGTTCCTCGATATCTCTGTAATACTATAACCTAATCATTATTTTTAATATTTGCAAGATAAAAGTTCCTTCTCAGCTTCCAAAATAAGTAAAACACGGATATGGAAATTGGTAAACAAGAAATATGAAATTGAAAAGATGAAGAGGCCACTCCTGATTTGTACGCATTGCTATTTTAAAGAGTTGCAGTGCTCTATGGATTTGCATCTTTCACAACATGACCAGGTGTCAATGTGTTTTGGCAACATGATCAGGTGTATGTGGTTTAAAGAGTAAGAATACCTGCCCCTCCGGCTACATCGAGAGGCTTCATTCCAAGAACCGACTACATCGAGAGGCTTTATTCTAGGAAAGGGGTGCAACTTTGAAACCAATCTGTAGTCCCCGGGGGGTGGGGGTAGATCGAAATCCATCATTTTGGTTTTGGCAAAGTATTAAGAAGCATAGCTGTTTAGTGGAAAATTTATAGTAAATAAAATGAAAGAAATTTGATTTGTATTCTCTCGATCTCAATTACAATTTGGATTTTCAATTACAAAAGAGAGAAGAATTGATCTGAATTCTCCCCTTTGTTTAAGTCTGGGTTCTTCACGGTAGCGATGAGATACCTCCCTCGAATGCTCGTGTCGAGTTTGCTTCTCGTTGACGATCCGAACGTCTTGTTTCACTGGAACGGTATATTCTCCTCAAGATTTTACGCTGTGGAGGACTTGCGTGACAAGTTTGAAACTCTGAACGAATTGATAACTCAGAGCGAGTTTAAACTCTTGTAAAAGAGTTGATTGATCTTAACCGTAATTGGTTAGATAAGCCAAGCATGAAGATAGTCCCAAGAATCTGTTGCCGAGAAGATGATCCGAAGAAGCCGATCTTTAGATCTCCAAAATTCTCAAAGATCCAAAGATATCTCCCCCTCCTCCCAAAACTCCAGCCTCAGGATCTCTTCTTTGTTGCCGAGGAGAAGGATCCCTTCTTTGCTGCCGAGGAGAAGGATCCCTTCTTTGCCGCCGAGGAGAAGGATCTCTTCTTTGCTGCCAAAGAGAAGGATCCGAACTAAGCTGATTTTTTAGTTATTTATAGGGGATTAAGGGGTGTAACCATCTTCTTAATTCGCTCCTAAGTAGGGCTTATGGGATATAACCGCCCTTTAAATCACTCCTGAGTGGAGTTATGATCCCCTCAGATCATGAGAAACGGTTTTGAAACCGTTCAGCTCGTGTTTGAACGAGTTAAACGCAAAATCCGCGTTCTGACTGAATTCTGCATTCAAACGCAGTGTCTGGAAGCTTGAATGCAATGTCTGGAAGCTCATTTGCAGCAATTGGAAGCTGCGTTTGTAGCGATTTGGAAGCTGCGTTGGCAGCTTTCGGACGGTGCGTTTGCGGTCGAACATGAGCTGCGTTGACAGCTGGATCTGAGCTGCGTTTGCAGCGTTTGTAGCTGAATGTGAGTTGTGTTTGCACTGCGTCAGCTGCTGTGAACGCGGTGCGTCTTGATGCTGTTACGCGGGGAGGACTTCCGCGTCTTGATTTGAAAAGACTGTCGATTTGTAGTCTCTTTCTGTCAAAGCGTTGCAAAGATCGTCATTTTATAATCTTTGCTTTAGCTCTTTGATATGTGAGACTCGTCAGATTGTAACTCCCGATATTGATTGTAAAGGCTGTTGATTAGAGCTTTCATCAGTTGTTGTGAAGATCGTCAGATTGTAACTTTCATCTATCTACATGAAAGTCTTTAAATTGTAGCCTTCTGGAAGCCGTCAAATTGTAACTTCCATCATCGGTGTTTGATGGGGATCGGCTATCTACAGTGATTTTTAGACAGCCTACAACAGCCCACACCTGTCTTTCCACAGCTTGTGCAATCAAGCGCTCATGACATCATTCATAAGATTATAGCTTGAAGCAACACTGCTAAAGACATTCCCTTCCCTACCAATTTGCTTTTTTCATCTTCTCCTACTTCCTTAAACCGTGCAAATATTGATGTAAAAAATTTTGATTATTTCTCGCGCCCACTAAAGAGAGGTAATTAATGCTACTCCATTTCCCAAAAGCTTGAACCACTAAAAACCAATCCTCCGACGTTCTCCTCTCTCTCTCTCTCCTCCATTTCCCAAAAGGTTGAACCAGCCCTCTCTCTCTTCCTCTCTCTCACCATCAAACAACCCAGATCCGAGCTCCTCCACCCCCTGCCACCTCGCCATCATCCCCCTCCGACGACGCCAACGCCGAACCCGTAGATCCGCTCCGTCAACCCTCCAAGGTTCGCTCAACTCTCTCTCTGTCTTCAACATCTTGTAAAAGGTGAAATAGTTCACCTTTTAGTCTGAAAAGTTTTTTGTTTTTTGAAGAAACCAGTTGAAAAACGAAGACATGCATAAGTGAATCTAGATTCACTGCAGTGAATCTCGATTCACAACAGTGAATCTAGATTCAGTATGTGAGTTGTTTGTTTTTTACCATAAAAAGCGTAATTTTTTGCTGTAAAAGGTGAAATCTTTTCATGGTTTAAAATTTTATAGCTTGTTTTTACCATAAGTTTCTTATTCTTTTTGTTTAAAATTTTATAGCTTGTTTTTTACCATAAAATTCTTATTCTTTTTGTTTAAAATTTTATAGCTTGTTTTTTACCATAAGTTTCTTATTCTTCAATATAATCCAGATTCACTGGAGTGAATCCAGATTCACTGGAGTGAATCCAGATTCACTGGAGTGAATCCAGATTCACTGGAGTGAATCCAGATTCACTGGAGTGAATCCAGATTCACTGGAGTGAATCCAGATTCACTGGAGTGAATCCAGATTCACTGGAGTGAATCCAGATTCACTGGAGTGAATCCAGATTCACTGGAGTGAATCCAGATTCACTGGAGTGAATCCAGATTCACTGGAGTGAATCCAGATTCACTGGAGTGAATCCAGATTCACTGGAGTGAATCCAGATTCACTGGAGTGAATCCAGATTCACTGGAGTGAATCCAGATTCACTGGAGTGAATCCAGATTCACTGGAGTGAATCCAGATTCACTGGAGTGAATCCAGATTCACTGGAGTGAATCCAGATTCACTGGAGTGAATCCAGATTCACTGGAGTGAATCCAGATTCACTGGAGTGAATCCAGATTCACTGGAGTGAATCCAGATTCACTGGAGTGAATCCAGATTCACTGGAGTGAATCCAGATTCACTGGAGTGAATCCAGATTCACTGGAGTGAATCCAGATTCACTGGAGTGAATCCAGATTCACTGGAGTGAATCCAGATTCACTGGAGTGAATCCAGATTCACTGGAGTGAATCCAGATTCACTGGAGTGAATCCAGATTCACTGGAGTGAATCCAGATTCACTGGAGTGAATCCAGATTCACTGGAGTGAATCCAGATTCACTGGAGTGAATCCAGATTCACTGGAGTGAATCCAGATTCACTGGAGTGAATCCAGATTCACTGGAGTGAATCCAGATTCACTGGAGTGAATCCAGATTCACTGGAGTGAATCCAGATTCACTGGAGTGAATCCAGATTCACTGGAGTGAATCCAGATTCACTGGAGTGAATCCAGATTCACTGGAGTGAATCCAGATTCACTGGAGTGAATCCAGATTCACTGGAGTGAATCCAGATTCACTGGAGTGAATCCAGATTCACTGGAGTGAATCCAGATTCACTGGAGTGAATCCAGACGTCTGGACTTAATGGGTGCGGATTAAAATGATCAGGCCCGTTAAGTTAGGGTGTACTGTGTCTGTGTAGGTACACCGGGTCTTACCCGGCCCCGCCTCAAACCTAACGGGCCGCCCAAATTGCACTCTTTCAATCGCAGCCCGATTACTTGTTACACCGTCAATTAATTAAATATCTACGGCCGCAAGAAAAGAAAAGCAAAGAAAGGAAAGGATTTTGCTCCCTTCTTTTTTTTTTTTTTCCTTCCTTCTTCTTTCCCTCTTTCTTGCTGCCTACACAAAACTCCTCCCTGATCCCATAAGGGCATAGGCAAGCGTACGGAGACGGTGTCCTGGTCAAGACGAAGCGGAGTAGATTAACGAGGGAGGGAGAAGGGGGGCTATGCCTACCGTTGATACCACCGGAATAGCATCCTACAGCAAGAAGAAGAAGAAGAAGAAGAAGAAGAAATCCCCTAATCCCAACTCCAAAGCCAATAATACCGACGGTCAACGTGTTGATGTCATTGATGACGATGGTGATCATGATTTCTTGGAGCATCGGGGATCCGTGAGCCATACTGCGAGCAGCGGCAGCGACACTGAAGGCGACCCTGCTAATAACAGGAGGAGCGGGAGGGAGGATTAGTGGGCATCGGATTAATCAAGCTGCTTCCTTCTCCACTCTCTTACTACGATGCCCCTGAAGGTTTCCCTCTTTCTCACTCTCTTACTCCGTTGTTGTTGTTGTTGTTGTTGTTGTTGTTTTGATTTCTGATGGGTGGGTTAGGGCTAATCGTACATATAGAGGACATAGGGAATTTCTTTCTTTCTCACACTACGTATGCTTTCCAGAACTATACGAGTACTAACATTACTGCATCTTGCTTTTCAACTGGCTACCAACTTCAGACTAGTTACCAATATCCCCGTCACTTCCTCTTTGAACTATATACGTACCTTATGTTGTTAGATAAGCTGACAACCGCTTACTTTCAGGAATTCTCTGCTCTCAGCGTATATGTGTTCCTCAATCGGGATCAAAACTAAACCATAAAAATACATAATTCAAATACTACAGATGATGATGAACAGGGAATAGGCTATATTCGATCAGTACGTATTCTCTATGTGCACCCTTATTGCTGAATGCATCTTCACCGTACACTTTTTTTGAAAGGACGACCAGAGGATGTCAAAATACATCCTAATTCAGTGAATTTTTATGCAGAAGGGACGGTAACTGACAATACAGAGTTGTCGGAGCTAGAATTTCTGTATCTTATATTATAATATATTAAAAAAAAAAAATTGGTACACATGCTTGTTGTGTACATGAATCCCTCCTGTTGTTTTTTTTCCTTTTTTGCATGATGGACTTCTTTTAGTAAAAGGCGAAAATTCTATCTTCTTTCATCAATAAGAAATTATGTAACAAGTTACATAATGTGGGTCTACGTCGAATATAGGAAGTAAGCTACATCGGAGAAACAAAATCCAAAGGGAGAGCCTGCATCAACATCATATAACGTCCAATTTGGAAGTTGAATTGGCTTGACTACTATATATTTGAGTGCTACTCTATGCTCAGTTTTCAAACTCCCTCAGCGTCACTAACCAAGAATGATGAGCCCATTAAGTATAACATTTCAACATAAGTGCATCGTTCGTACGGTTACGTGTACTGTGCTATGAGTTTTACATACTGGACCATTTTGCGGTTATTATATTAGATAACATGCTCATTTAATTGTTTTAATAATGATAAATACGCTCATGATTTTCCATATTTATCTATATGTACTGCCTTTTCCTAGGAAATCTCTAAAGTTCAATATAGAACCATTACCAGGATATAATTCTGACTTATATAGCCTTCTGTAACTATTTGTTATCAGCATTATCAATCCATTTTCTTACTATATTCTAATTACATGATAGACAGTAATTGCATTAGCAAATCATATCAGGCAAACAGTTCACGTTACAATATTTTTGTCTATTTTTTGCAGACAGTTGTATTTCCTAACATTCTTTTTTCACTGATATGCTCACTGACATACTAAGCTTCTGCAGATTTCTTTTCTGACGGTAGTTCTATTTCAAACTCATCTCCCTCCTTGAGAACCAACATCGGCGAGGAACTGAAAGCATTAAGGCTCAGTCTCCTTGAGGAGGTTGAGAGACGGACTAAGGCAGAGAAGGGTCTGCACTGCACACATATGCAGTGGCATAGGTTGGCAGCATGTCTTCCACAAGTGGGATTGTCACTTCCTGAGGTACAGAATTCTGGAGATATGCAAGTTGAGATGGACCCATCTGCAATTTGTCAAGAGATATTAGTTACAAGGGCTGTTAACGAAGCTATTGAAAGGGCTTTGGCAAGGGAAGAAACTGAAATAATTACTAAGGCTGTAATCGACTCAGAAAAACTATGAAATCTCTCGCCTGCGTGACCGTCTGCAGTATTATGAAGCCATGAATCGCGAAATGTCCCAAGGGAATCAGGAAATTGTAGGTAAGATTCCCTATGTCTCTTTCATCCTCTAGTAGTACACATTTCCTAGAACCTATGTTGTGGCAGTTGACTAACAACTAGAAATAGTGTTATTTCTCTAATATATTGGTATATTTATAGGAGGAACACCAAAAGTTTTCTAACTCGACCTATGAGTGTTTTGGGCTTTAGAGAATTCAACGCCTTCCTATTGTCATATGATATATAGCCATTTTTAAAGGATAAATTGCCAAAAACACCATACAATTTCCCGTTTTGACAATTAAATACCACAAGTTTTGGTACAAAACAATACCATGAAGTTTTCAAAATTTGCATGTTACTACCATTGATCATGCAAACATGGAAATTTTCACCCAAATGCTTCTCTATGATATTTACCTACTAATTTTATTTTCTAACAATTAATATTTATTAAAATTTTCATTGGAAATATCCCAACTCTATTCTAAGGTATAATTAAGATAAGTTTGAAAAAGAAATTTGGTTGATTTAACAAATATTAGTCACTGTTATAAATAGCGGTAAATAGCCCCGCAATAGCAGCGCTAATAGCGTTAGCGGTTCCTTCCCGAGACGCTATCGTCCGCTACGCTATCGCGCAATAGCAGTGACATATTGCGAAATATGTCTGTTCGCAAAAGCGGCCAATAGTGTGTCATAACGGTAAATAGTGAGCGATTGCATCCGAATTTTGCTTTTTGACTACTATTTAAAAGCGGTTTGAAGCTTACTTTTTTAAAAATTAAACTCAATCCTTAATCATTGCATTCCACCGTCTCCTGTGATTTTCAGCATACTCCCGCCACCTCTCATAGCCTCTGACACCTACCTTGGTACTTCCTCTCACCTCCTTCACCGTGAGCTCCTCTTAGGGCAATCCTGTCATCGCTAAGCTTTTCTTCTCGAAGACGATGACTTTTTGACTCCTCTAGTCATCTTCGGTATTACGTGATGGTTACATGTCTATTTCATGTTTAAGATCTCTTTAAATTATCCAATATGTACTTTTAGATTTCTTAGATTTTTCTTTTTTTAGTATTTATACATATCTAAATTAGATCGCTATTTGACTTTGCGCTTTTTACCGCTATTTTGCCGTAACAGCCCAAAATAGCCTTAGCGATGCCTCACCGCTATGCGACGCTATCCGCTATCGATAACCTTGGTATTAGTTAAAAAGATCTAAAATTAGCATGTAAGTATTATAGAGAAACATTCTGCTGAAAATTTCCACGTTTCCATGATCGCTGGGAGAAACGTGCAAATTTTGGATACTTCATCATATTTTTTTGTACCGAAATGCAACTTGTGGTATTTAATTGTCAAAAATAGAAAACTTTATGGTATTTTTGTGCATTTTAGCTTTTTTTAAATGAACATGGGTGGCTTTCTCTTGCTTGGACTTTTCCACCCAGTATACCTTCTGGCGTACCCGTTCGTAGTGTGTATCAAGAAGTCAGTGTTTCACAATTCTAACCTTTTCATATAAGATTTTTTTCATGTGTTTATTCTTATTATGTTAATCCTTTTGGTCTTTGGTAATTCAAGTTTGTACTTTTTGCTTAAGTAAATACTCCGATTGTTATTGTTGGTGGGAGTTATTCATAACTTTCTTTTCCATCTTTTAATTTCTTCATCGTAGATTATCTAACAGGCACTTACATAACTACCACAAGAACAACAAAGCCTTCATCACAAAACTCCTGGGATCTATTAACTGTATCCTTTCCTTCCGTTCAGCTTTAGACTCATCTTCTTGGTGGACATACAACTATTATTTCCTCTTTAGTTTCTTTCATCCATGTTTTTAGCCTTACCTTAAATCCTTGTTGCTCCACTAACTATCATCATCTCCTAATTGGTGCAATAATTGGCTTTCACTGCGATGTTCATTTCAATTAGTTCTCTCTCATTTTTCTCGTATACTGGGAGAAACATATAGCTTATTAGATGTATACTTCTTTCTTATCCTATCCCTTAGCATATTTCATATCATCCATATCAAAATTCTTATATTCACTACACTCCTAGTTATGTTGTTTGTTAACTGCTTAAATGTCCGACCTATAAAAGATTGTTGGTCTTATAGCCATATTTTAAAATTTCATGAAACGAACTTGCATAATTGTAAAACAATTGGTGCTGGTTCTATTATATAAAATTGGTAAATTTGAAGAGAGGAATCTTGAGTTATTTCAGTTGATCTTCTAATAGTTGCACCTGCAAAAGATGCATTTCTATTACCATTCAATTTATAGCCATTTCCTTCCTGGTTAGACACAAGTTTGGAGTGAGCAGGGACATCTTTCTCTAACCGTAAATATTTTCGTAAGGAAGACTTATGACGGAGTAAGTGTCCAAAAATTATTGCTTCATAATTGCAAACCCTTTTATGTTAACAAGGTTTTCAATCAATCAAATTTATGATAGCAATTAGTTCATTTTTTTATCATATTGTATTCTTTTCTGGTTATTATGTATTTTTTGCAGATACCCTTACAATTATTTTCTTGTTGGATATATATTTCTAGGATTAGAAAGTGCTGGTACCCACACTTCTAGGTATCCTTGTGTCAAGGTTTGACATTGTGGATTAAATCAACCTAACCAAGGGTTTATGTTTTGATCTTAGTTGGTGTTATCAAGCAATAGTAATATATTGTTATCTTATTTTTCTCTCAAGTCACGTGTAGATTGAGTTTTAAGGACAATAGGCTACCACACCCTATAAAATAAAATTAAAAAAAAAAAATTCTGGATACTACCTGCTTGTCTGTGACTAGGAGCGTGTGGTTATGCTTTTTACCAATGCATGGCCTACTATTCTCTTCTTTTATAAATTAGAGAGTAAAGACATTTGATCTGTTCATAGGCAATTATGAGTTGACTTAGTTGCATGATATTTTAAAACTTGTTACTTTATCTTTCTTTAGTAAGCATGTTGGGAAAGGACTTTTGCTAGTGTGATTTGTTACATATGCTGTTAATCGGTACTCCAACTGAAACTTTCTTAGTGAATGACATACAACTGAGTTCATCTTTTCAACCTGAAACTTCCAGACAAAATCAACTGGAATAAGCTTGATTGCTATAAATTTAGGATGGTCTTGTTTCCCTGATGGTCAGCATGAGATTGTTCATTTGTTTGTAAGCGATGCAGCTGCAATATCTTGTACGAGAAGCAAGGCAAACTTGATTTTTGGTCAGTTGTAGGGATTGTGTGGGTGGGGTGAGGTTAGGCCTTTATTTTTTTTATTTTTTTATTATTATTATTTTTTTTTTTTTTT